TAACAATGTCACCTGAAAAGTTTTAGAATATTTTAAAGTAGAAAGATCATGTTATTAGGAAACATCGCAAATGTCTTATTGTCTAACATATCAACAGTTACTCAGGAAAAAAGCAAATGGGAATTTTTACCCAGTTTGCACATTGCTTGAAATGAGCACACACAAATTATATGCATCCTAAATGTTCAGGAGAGACTGTCAAGGGAAAAAAGAAGGGCAGCAAGAGAAAATGCCCGTTGATGATTTCCCTCTGCACTCTGTTTGCTTCCAGAGTAGTTACTTAAAAGAAAATGGGCACTTCAAGGTCACAGATGTGCTGAGGGCTTAGGCTGCAAGACTTTGTGCCACTACGCTACAAACAATGAAAATGGGTAGAGCAGATGAAAGAACATAAATTGTTTCTGGCTTCACTTATATGTGTGTGCCATCTGTTCTTTTGGGTGCCACAGTCATCAAGTCTTTTGAATTTAGTGATGCAGTGACACACACCAGCTGCATGTTATTGAAGGTATTCCTGTCTTAAGATTTTTACTGTCATTATTAAGCTAATCAGATATTATTTTATGTTCTTTCAAATGATCACATATATACATATTAAAATGCCATCAGATCATAGAGAGTAGGGAGTGGCACTGTACCAGAAAGAATCCATAGATTCCAGTGAGAAAAATTTCACAGTAAAATTTTTAAGGATATGTCAAGGTTCCTCCCCCACTCTGAACTCTAGGGTACAGATGTGGGGACCTGCATGAAAAACCTCCTAAGCTTATCTTTACCAGCTGAGGTCAAAACTTCCCCAAGGTACAAAATATTCCACCCTTTGTCCTTGGATTGGCCGCTACCACCACCAAACTAATACTGGTTACTGGGGAAGAGCTGTTTGGACGCGTCATTCCCCCCCAAATACTTCCCAAAACCTTGCACCCCACTTCCTGGACAAGGTTTGGTAAAAAGCCTCACCAATTTGCCTAGGTGACTACAGACCCAGACCCTTGGATCTTAAGAACAATGAACAATCCTCCCAACACTTGCACCCCCCCTTTCCTGGGAAATGTTGGATAAAAAGCCTCACCAATTTGCATAGGTGACCACAGACCCAAACCCTTGGATCTGAGAACAATGAAAAAGCATTCAGTTTTCTTACAAGAAGACTTTTAATAAAAATAGTAGTAAATAGAAATAAAGAAATCCCCCCTGTAAAATCAGGATGGTAGATACCTTACAGGGTAATTAGATTCAAAAACATAGAGAACCCCTCTAGGCAAAACCTTAAGTTACAAAAAAGATACACAGACAGAAATAGTTATTCCATTCAGCACAGTTCTTTTCTCAGCCATTTAAAGAAATCATAATTTAACACGTACCTAGCTAGATTACTTACTAAAAGTTCTAAGACTCCATTCCTGGTCTATCCCCGACAAAGACAGACTATAGACAGACACACAGACCCTTTGTTTCTCTCCCTCCTCCCAGCTTTTGAAAGTATCTTGTCTCCTCATTGGTCATTTTGGTCAGGTGCCAGCGAGGTTACCTTTAGCTTCTTAACCCTTTACAGGTGAGAGGAGCTTTCCCCTGGCCAGGAGGGATTTCAAAGGGGTTTACCCTTCCCTTTATATTTATGACAGGATACAAATTCCAAATAGCATACCAATAGGGTTATCAGGCCTTTGATCAGCTTTGAATGCACAGTGTTGAGGGAAATCAAAGGAATAACCCAAATCTAATAAGCCAGTAATAATGAGTGACTGTTGCAACTTGCATGGATACTAGTCAAATGTCATATGATGTAAGGTTTAGAGAAGCAATTTTGTGATACCTTAAGTGATTGCTTCTAGGAAGAGCTGGCAAGTTGTACAGTTCAGTGAAAAATCTCTGCTTGCTGCAGCTGGGATTGGAAAGGCAAACATTGTTAGGATGGTTAAGGAATGGAAAGGAAAATACTACTGGCATTGTTGTAATGCATAGTATAAATCAACATTCTGAATCCCAGTGGTATAGCAGAAACAAAAAGAGTTCAGAGATGAGTGATGAAAATGGTCAGGCATGGAAAGGCTTCCATTTAAAGACAGAGTGAAAAGACTGGGATTGTTACATTTCAAGAGGAGAAGAATAAGGGAGGACATGATATGGGCTTACAAAATAATGATTAATATAGAAAAGATAACTCAAGTGGTCACATTCACCCCTTCTCATAATAAAAAAGGAAGGCTGTAAAACTGAGAAAAGGAAATACTTTCTTATACCAGGTATAATTAACCTGTGGAAGGTATTGCCGTGGAACATCATTGAAATGAAGAAAGTAGTAGTAATAATACCACTTAGCACTTATGTGAAACTTTTCATCCGTAGATCTCAGTACTTTTACACAGATAGAATTCAGAAGTGGATTAGACATTTAAATGGATAATGAGAATATTCTTGATTACATTATATAGGATAAATAGATTTCTTACATATATCTTTTTAAGGGGATAATACATACCTTTGTGCGTCAGAGCATAAGCTGACCACAAACTGATGGGAGTGAGAAAGAATCTTCTCCTATAGTCAGGTTATTTCATAATAGTTCCCGAAGGGTTTCTTACCCTTTCCTCTGAAGAATCAGGTACTGGCTACTGTTAAAAACAGGATACAGGACAGAATAGATCACTTGTCTGATCCAATACAGCAAGGATCATCTTTTTGGTTTGTGTTTGTACAGCACCTAGCATGATGAGATCCTGGTTCTTGACCAGGCTTTCAGGTCCACAGTAACATAAATAATAATAATTCCTATGTAAGCCCCTGATTGTGCAAACATTTACACATGTGTTTAACTTGATTTTGATGGGACTACTCATGATAGTAAAGGTAAGTATATGTGTAAGTGTTTGCATGATTGTGGCCTAAGAGTCTTAACTAATATTGCCAGAGATGTGCACTGGGAAGCAGGATGGTAAATTGTCAATTCTCCATTGGATCACTGCCTCCCAAAACACTACAATAGTGCATGTTTTTTGGTGTTTTGAAGAAGTGGGGAGGGATGTGTTTTAAAAAAGTGTTGTTTTTTCAATGTCAAAGCATGTACTGAATTGCTTGAATAGAAATCCACATAAAATAAAATTGCTACATTATGATCTGTTAGAAACCACCAGATGTTGCCTTTTGGAAGAAAGAGTGTTTACTGTAAGGCAAAAATAATTTTTAAAATGTTAAGTTTTAAATAATACAAAAATAACAAATTATGTAAAAAAAATAAATTCAGTAGAAGTGCAGTTCTGAAAGACAGTTCTGGCTTAGACAGATCCAAGGAGAGTGCATAAATGGTGAACAGGCCTAATTGGTGTTACGTTACAAATAACTGTCTTAAAACCTTATCTTCCAAACTACGCATAGCATTATCTGAAATCTTTGTTAAGCTGAGAGATCACGGTCCCAACTGATTACTTGAAAGATCAGTTAGTAATGGAATATCCTGGTCCGTTATTAAATAACTAGTATTGCAGTATTACGCAGTGGGGAGTGAATAATTTTATGTCGTATATGCTGTCACGCTTAGGAGGCGTTTCACACATACATTTTGGCTACCTGATAGTAGAAGGCCACAGCTTGTCACTCCACTGACATACTGAAAAATAATGATAGATTTCAAATTGCTTATAATGGCTGTGTATTGCATGCTGACTCTTACTTTGCAAAAGCACTTATTACCTCATTAAACTCAGTCTACATCATATTTAAACAATTACACAAAACATGTAGAGATTTCTTTATCTCAGAAACCTCAATTTTCAGGAACCAGTGTCGATTTATTTATGCTAACAGCTGTTGCTTAACTTTTGAAATATCAAGGTGAAGTTTCTGATGAATATGGGAACACACATATTTTAAAATAATGTATATGATTGAAGTAATATGTGCAGGGGCTGTCCTCAGCCCCTAAAAGGCATAAAACCACCTTCTGGATATAACTAGATGACCTCCTGAGATCCCTTCCAACCCTGATATTCTATGCATGAATGCTGTGAATATCTGGAGTGTGGGTGCTATAAGATTCCAGTGAGTTTTAAGAGCCAGATATTGCTTTTCTGCATCCGATAAATAATTATCATTTTCAAGTAAAGTGCTTTGAAAGTACCCATAAATCTTCTGTTTAGTACAGTCATATGGTAGAGTATGATACTGAGATATTAATACCAAAGGAGCTTTTAAAATATCAATGAAATAGGCTGATGAATAGTTGAATTTTTATGGGTTTGGCACGTTAAGCACAGTCCAGCCAGCTATGCATGTAAGAGAGTCCAACAGATCAAGACTGAAGGAAACAGATAAATAGGCTGACCCAGGAAGAAGTAGTGGGATGTCATAAAGGAAGAAATTAGCATGTGTTGTGATAGAGAAAATGGCATGGAACAGAGCACTTTGGAAGGAGTGGATTTATAGAGCAGACCCCATTTGTGGGATTAATGCAAGGAAGAAGAAAAATAATAGTTGAATTTTGTATTCCTATTACATGATACAGTGTACTGTCATCTAATATTTGGTATCTAATATTCTCCATCATGTTTACCTAGGTCCCAAATCCTGCAAACACTTATACGCATGCTTAACTTACCACACGTGATTAGCCCCATGGAAGTCAGTGGCTGTAGTCAAGAGCTTAGAGCTAAGCATGTATCTAAGTATTTGCAGGATCAGGGCTTTAGGGTCAAAATCAGTGGTCACCTAAATGGTACAAATGCATATATTTCTGTGGAGTTGTTCCTGCTTATGCTACCAATAAAATTGGCCCGAAGTCTGTTTTTAGAATGCTACACTGTGTAATTAGGTTTATCTTTGGTTATCTGTAACATATAATAATTTGCACCTCATGTTTCAGCACCAAATTAGATTTGCTCAAATAATTTTCACAAATCACTGAGTTTAAAAAAATAAATCATAACTGAAATCTGAACATAACTTTTTTCATTGAATTTGCAAATGGCTATCATCAGACATAAATATATCTATTTTCTTTTTAGCCAAAGAATGGGATCTTCATGAGTGTGTTTCTGATTGTTTTACCTCTGGAGTCCATGGCTCATGGGCTTTTCCATGAACTGGGGAACTGCTTGGGAGGAACATGTGTTGGATATGCTGTTGTGATTCCCACCAATTTCTGCAGGTATAGTTACCATGGTAAATGTACGCACATTGCAACTTCATATTGGAATTAGTGCAGCTGTTACACGAGAGGCAATTCAGTGGTGTAGCTTTTCTTTTTCAACTATTAAATACTAGTTTTGATATTTGATGGCTGTGTTTGAATGAGCATTCTCCTTACCTATCCTCACCTTTCAAAAATAATTTTAATTATTTATACAATACAATACAAATACAATAATAATATTGTATTTACAATACAACTTCAAATTCTGTATACATTTGACTTGCTTTTAACAAGCCAATAAATATGCTAAACCCCAGTCCTGCAATGTACTGCATGAAAGAAACTGCTGATTCCATGTGTTGTATGTTTCAGGATCAGGGCTTTAGATTCTGGAGTCAGTGCAGATATTTTATGTAAAGTGATTTAATAATCTAAGCAGGCAATGAACTCATGCTCAGAACAATTTTATAAACTGTATTAGAATGATTTAACTGAGTGGCAGTACTAAAAATATGTAGATGTGAGAATGATTTTGGATTACTTATAAACTACATGTTATCTATGTATTTACAGCAATTCCTATTTTCAAAATAAAGGTTGCAGTAAAAATTATTTTCTTTGATACTAATAGTTTACCAGCTCATCCAGCTACAAAAAATAGCTTCTAAAGTTGAAACATCCTATTTTAATTTCATTTTTATTCTTATAATTTAAATCCTTCATAAGAGCATTATCTTGTAAATGACACGAGAACTCATGAAATTCATATCTTCCTGAGTGTCCATGGAAATGGGATTGCAAATTGGAATTTGTATGAAAATGTCCAGCTTGCTATGACTATGGATTTAATGGGCAATGAAAAGATCTGGGGTTTTTTGGGGGGGGAGGGGACAGGGGTAAAGGGGGAGCCAGAGGAGGAAAAAAAAAGATTGTGTGCTGATGTTCAGTTGTTAGATACCATGTAAATCATTTGAAAATGCTGTAGCCTTGAACAGATTAAGATTTCCACTGTTCATCTGGTTATTTCTGTTGAGATATATATAATATGTGTGTGTGTGTGTATATATATATATATATATTATGTGTGTGTGTGTGTATATATATATAGTAATAACATAAATATGTTTTTAATGGAAGTGTTTACCCATTTAAAAAAAAATTCTCGGAAGTATGCTCCCCCATTTGCTTAACTGTATAAAGGGAGTTTGCATCCATGGATTATTGCTCAGGGTGGGGAAAATGATCTACCCTTCCTCTGACTCCACAGAAGCCCCTGGGTTGAGAGTTTGGAAGGGACAAGTGGTTGCCTAGTTTCAGAAGTGGAGTGACTTATGCTGCTTCCCCCATTGTGGTTTGGAAGACTCCTTTCCAAGGTGGTGTTCTGAGGCAGCTGCAGTCTGAGAAACTCATGAGACTGTGGGGGCTGAGTGGTAGCTTGAAAGAAAGATATTTCTCCGTGGATGCCACTTATGGCCAGTAGAGATGCACAGGTCTGTGGGCTTAGTGATGAAACCACAGAGGATTAAATGACAGTTGTTCTGTCTAGATGAAAGAGATGGTCCAGTGGTTTAGTCCTCTCTTCCCAAGTGAAAACTTTAACACCAAGAGAATTGCCAGGACAGTAAGTGAGTTAAAACTGCTAGAGCTCCTGTGACAGAATGATTGTGATAGGAGTGAATTTGTCCTTCTTGTACATTGTTGCATCTTTTCCATTTAGAATGCAGAAGGGTTTATATCTTATCCACAATAAAATTATTGGTGTCACATCAACTTCCTGAGCTGTGTTCTTGTAATGTCCTTAGCTGCCCACATTCTGCAGCCACCAAACTGAGGGCATAATATCCCACTTGGTCCATTTTTGTGAGGGCTTAAAAAGCAGGTTTAATAAGCTTATGTTATAGTATAAATAATATTATCTTTCTTGTCCTAGATGATAATCCAATTCCTGCGTTGTGCTAAATTATTCTGTCACTGGCAGTTTGGTTTCTCCATGGAGAAATGGTAGTAAGGTCGAGAAAAACAGTGTGAGGCACTGGCAATGTTACCCTTTCATAATAATAATAATGAAGTTCAGTTAATAAGCCCATTCTCTAATTGTTCAGATAAAGTATAGGCAATATTAATATTGTATTTACTGTAATACAATTATATCAGTGCAATGTAAACCTATTTAGGTCCTATAAGAGTGAGGAGATGTAGAACCAAAGCAGTTTGGTCATAAAAAAAGAAACTGGTATAATATTATATAAAAGACTTATTTCAAACAAAAGCAATGGGAAAAATGTGCACCAAAACCACTTTTCTTTCGCTTGTTTTGTTATGGCAAGGGTCTTCTGGAACAGAACACCTCACATTTTCACCCTGCAGAGTCTGTGCATCCCTACAGTCTTACTCAAGTGAAAAGATTTGATACAGCTCTCTCAAGCCCTCCAATTCCAGTTATGGAAGTGGTTGAATGGCATTGCTGGAAAGTGATGACTGATGCTTTTTCCCACCTGGAGGCTGAGCACAGCCTCTGGAGTGCTCCCAACGCTTCCTGGCTTGGGAGACAGAATCTGAGTCCCTTTTGTGATGTGTTATTTACTGACATATAAGCCTAATGATTTACGAAATCACATTTATATGCAGTTTGCAATCTAGCATTTAGATTTCAAGCCTTGCAGTGAGTATTTCATCAAAGTAGTTAAACACTTAAATATCAATAGTGAACAAAATATTCCACACAAAGAGAACTGATTTCACCAGTTGCTACAAGTATGTGATGAATACAGTAATAAAACATAACTAAATATTTTTTCTTCTGTTTAGTCCTGATGGTCAACCTACGCTTCTTCCACCTGAGCATGTGCAAGAGTTAAATTTGAGGTCTACAGGCATGCTTAATACCATCCAGAGGTTTTTTGCATATCACATGATTGAAACATATGGCTGTGACTATTCTACAAGTGGACTTTCTTTTGATACACTTCATTCTAAGCTGAAATCTTTTCTTGAACTTCGGACTGCAGATGGACCCAGACATGATACCTATGTTTTATATTATAGTGGTCACTCCCATGGCACTGGTGAATGGGCACTAGCAGGTAACCAGCATTTGGAGCTTTTGATAATACTTTTTTCATTGATAGAACCTACTAGTAGATAATTATTGCTTTATTCCTATGAAATCGTACCATACTATTATTAAAACTCAGAAGTTTCATGTGTGACAGCTACACATGTACATGTGAGCATTCTAGTTCTAAGAACAGGAGGTGTAAAACACAAATGGCTAAAGTTAACCCATCAAGCTTTCAAATAAATTGAATTCCTTGTTGCTTAGTCATCTACAGATTTGAGAGTACTTATGAATTTATAGTTTTAATAACCACAGTAAAAATGAAAAATAAAAGGCTTATGATAGCAATAACAAAGTGAAATATATGTAATTAAATGGAATGTTCAGAGTTCATCAAGAAGCTATATGAAACTTAATGAATTCAGAAGTCTTAGAATAAAGTGGTAATCTGATCTAATTCAATTCATAATGCCCTGGGAAGATGATTTTGTTCAACATTATTTATGAAGCATTTAATACAGGTTTTGTTGGCCGAGCTTGCGAAGCCCTACATATGCTCAAATTGGTGGCATTTGTGTGGATAACTTTTGAATGCCGCATCCAATCAATTACAAAATTTCAGGGAGTGTTCTAGGCATTAGTGGCCAGAACCCTCTTGATTTTGGGGAGAATTGGAAGGGGGGAAATGGGAACACGTGATACCTCTGCCATCTGTTTTAGCAGAAAGTTATCTTCCAGCACCTCTCTAATTATAGATCAAAGAACTGTTTGATGGCATCCATTAGTGTAATGGAAGTAGGCTATTGAAATTGTTGTGTTGAGGTGGGGAGCAGAATTTTTGGTGCAGAATTTGGATCCCTGTAACACTGAGGTCTGATCTACACTTAAAACTTAGGTCAACCTAGCTACATCACTCAGGGATGTAAAAAATCCACATCCCTGAGAAATGTAGTTAAGCTGACGTAAGCTCCAGTGTAGACATGCTAGGTCGATAGAAGAATTTTTCCATCAACCTAGCTACCATCTCTTGAGGGAGTGGACTTCCTACAGCAACAGAAAAACCCCTTCTGTTGCTAAAGCATGTGTACATGGTGGTGTAGCTGCAGTGCCGCAGCTGGGCTGCTGTAGCACGTGGTATAGATATACCTTAAGTATTTTTTCAGTTTTTAAAGCTCTTTTTTTCTTGGAAGTCATTGCCACTTAATTTTTTACACCTATGTCAATTTGTGCCATAGGACCTTCTGTAGGGAAGCTCTGTCTTCATGTTACAATAAAGACCAACACAGAGAGAGAGTGCTGCTTTTACAAAAAATAGAGAGGAAACATGATAAAAAATAAAATATAGAAAGAATAAAGGATTTAAAAGCCATGACAACATTTTTCAGTGGATTTGAATTTTCTTGAGAGGAAGTTCCTCCTAGGTTACCCATGAATGGTTTGCATGTTGGCACACCTCCAGTTTTTTCTCACAGAGATAGTATAAAGCCACACAAAGAAAAGGAGCAATCAGTATTTGTCATGAATCACTTTCATGATCAGTTTCCCATTGTGAGATCTAGGTAAACCATGGTGTGTAGCTTGATTTTCCAGCCTGATAGAACTTTTTTTGAATGCATCCAGCTGTATAAGCTGAAAAGCTGAAGGGTATTTGATAATATAATTGTGTATAGTTTATCCGACAGTGATGTTTTGTGACAGATGGAACAGACAGTCATTAGCTCCTCTAATCTGTACCATCCTCTGACCTCTGGAGCGGATTCATGACAACAATGAAATGTTAACATTCAGATATAGTAGAGAAAGTAGTATCTTCTGGGGGCTTGAACAATGATGTAGCACACCAGTAACACTGTAGTCTTTGTGCTGTAATGACATCTTTAAGGGAGGCTTGCTGTATTTATTAGCTCACTAACAATGTTTCTTCATTGTTGGAAGCTTGGAAGTAGCACAGTGGTGTATAAAAAACTGTTAGTTGGTTATGCATAAAGAATGAGCAATAAAACAGCCTGGGAGGTCATGTTCACTGAGTGAATTCAAAAGGCAAGAATCGGGCTCTAAAGCCTGGTCTGTGTCACTGGAGCTGTCAGTTTAACTGCCTGTGAAACTTGCCGAAGGAGTCAGATGCTGCTACGTATCCATAGGTCTCTTCCACAGCTTGGTGTCTAGCTCTGATGTTGGCTGATCTTGACATACGTGTGAGGGGTTAGCACTTGTATGTATAGGAGGGTCAGAAAGACTTAAGTTGCTCTCTTTTGGTTAGGTCCACAGTACCGTCTCTTCTGAATTATCTATACCCCCACATGATCATGCTGAAATGTAGGAAAGTCATTCATGCGGGCTTTGAAAATGTGAAAAAGTAAGGAATACTTTTTCCTAATTTACATTTAGGGCTTATCTAAATTAGGGAAATTTTCACTAGTGCAAATCCAAAAATCAGATATGCTACACTGGAGCAAAGTGGGACTAAAAGAGGTATAATTTACTGGGTCAGTCACACCACTTTGCACCAAACTAGTGTGTATACACAGTAGGTTTCTGGTTTTTATAAGATGAACCTGACACTGAATTTTGTGGATTTATCTTCTTTGTTTTAGAGATGATTCTATCCCTGTAAATTTGTACTTACAATATATACTCTGAACCTTAACTCCATCCTTAATGTAGTTTTTCTCTGGAAGTAACAGATTACAAATGCATTTTTGCCATCTATCAAAGATAGGAATCTGCAGACAGCTATGATATCCCATATACTCTTGAGTATCACTTGACATTCACTATTTTAGAAGAACATCTCTTCTGGCTACACATCTCCATGACTAATAATAAACTGCCACCTTCTGATAAGACTAATTGGAGTTTAGTTGACCAAAGAAATGGGAGATGTAAGATTTGGACTCATAGCCACATATTCTAGCTGGTGGTGGTTCTTATTGGATTTGTTTCTTTTTATTGGATGCACTTTGGACTCTGCATCAGGCACCTTACAAATGGATGAAATAAATACATGAGTGGAGGAAGAAATTGCTATTTGCAGCAAAATTTATTTTAAAATATTCTAAATCAAGCATCTGAGCAGAATTTTTTTGGTAGAAATTGATCCAGTTGCATGAAGACAGTAAGAAATTAAAATATTGAATAGAATCAAGCAAATATTATAAAGTAAAATATGCTCAGATTTGTAGCTATAGTAAGTCTTATTTACAGCCACTTGAGCTTCACACTCGTGATTTATATGGTCACTAGAAATTCTTGATTTCAAATGCAACCCTTCTCTAAGTTAGGGTATGGTGACTCTATATGTTGATAGTAATCATTAAAGCATTAAAAGGAAATGCTACTCAGATAACAGCCTGGATTGCTGATTGTCCTATAGAAGTGAGCAAAAGACAGGATTTGTTTTGTTATAAAGTTGCCACAAATTAAACACTTTTGAGTGTCTGGTTTGAGTCAGTCTGTACATTTATTCAGAGGTTACAGTAAAGTTTCTTCGTCTTTATCACACATTTTTTCTTGGCTTGAAATTATATCCACTCTGCACCCACAGCTAGGTTGTAAGGGAATTGGCTTTCTCCATAATAGATTACCTGCATCCTTAATGTAAATCCTGAATGTAAAACCTGTTTAAGAAGATGGATGCCACTTTTTCTGACTGAAATATGCTTGTAAAAAGGGCAGATAAAATTACTTTGGTGGCTTTGATCATATCTAACAAAGCATTAAATAGAGTCTAGTTAGTCTAGTTTAAATTGCTGTAAATTCTCATACAACGAATATGCATATTTCAGAAGTCAAGTAAAACCATGCTGTCAGGGGAGAACTACTTCCAAAATAAGATCTAGACCAGGGGTGACCAACCTGTGGCTCCGGAGCCACATGTGGCTCTTCAGAAGTTAATACGCGGATCCTTGTATAGGCACCGACTCCGGGGCTGGAGCTACAGGCGCCAACTTTCCAATGTGCTGGGGGATGCTCACTGCTCAACCCCTGGCTCTGCCACAGGCCCTGCCCCCACTCCACCCCTTCCCCCAAATGTGCTGTGCCCTCTTTCCTCCATCCTATCCCCCAGAGCCTCCTGTACATGCAAAACGGCAGATGATGGGGAGAGGGAGGTGCTGGGGGCTGGAGTGGGGGAGCTGATGCGGGACTGCTGACATATTACTGTGGCTCTTCGGCAATGTACATTGGTAAATTCTGGCACCTTCTCAGGCTCAGGTTGGCCACCCCTGATCTAGACTTTCATATTTTAGCCTTCAGCCTTTAATACATGAACTTGTTGCCTCCTGTCTGATGTACCAAATGCTTTATCTGTTCTTCCAGTTGAGAAACTTTGGTGATACATATTTTGTATATAAATTCAAAGAATTTAAACTCTATTTAAATGTACTCAGATTCCCTGGTGCAAATTGTCTCTAAAGGTGCATTGCTAGGTTAAAATTCATATCTGCTTTAAAAATCTAATTTCCTTACCTCTTCCTACTAATGTCACTTTAGATTAGATTATTAAAAAATAATCTTTTTAAACTAGACCAAAATGTTCAGTCTTGGGTCCTTAATATTGTGTATCTAAATCCTTATTATAGCTTCAGTCTGCAAACATTATAGGTGTGAGTGAAGTTCATCATGTGAACAATCCAATTGAAGTTAGTGTTATCAGGATTTTTTCCTTATGCTCCTCAATAAGTAGCCTGATTTTTCTTAGGTACTGAGTACCAACAGCACCCATTCAATTTATTGCGCCAAAAGTGATCCAAATTGTTAACAACTTTTCCTAATTATAGTCTGTTTTCTTCAAATATAGTTTGAATTTTCAGGAGATGAAACTATACTGAAAGTTTGAAGCACTAATCAGAAAGCTCATGCTCAGATAAATTGGTTAGTCTCTAAGGTGCCACAAGTACTCCTAATCAGAAGTAGTTTTTGAGATAGAAGGAGACAAAGGTTAGATACAAATAAAAGTTTCAAATCATGGTAACTTTTTGATGACTTGTAACTTAAAATCCATTTAAATTTTCTTTAAACATCACAGAAACATTCTCTTCTGCCTTTAGAGAAAATCTATCAATGTTCAGGCCAAATGACTTTTCCAAGGCAAAGGTTATGGTGGTGTGTAAGCAGGTGGCTTACTAATTCTGCTCTAAAATAGGCAGGACATATTATGTAGGTTTAAAACATACCCTATTCTGAGGTTTGAACTTATTAACATAAAGCAAACCATGTAAACTCCAGCTCAAGCTTTCTGCCCCTGCGTAGCTGTTCTTCTCCAAGTGCTTGCACATGTCCATTCCATTGTAGGTGTGTGCATGTCCCGAGCACAGTTGACAGAATGTTTTCCCTGAACGGTAACCGTTGGGTCGGCTCCAGCTCTCTCTGGTGCCTCACGCTCCTCATGGAGGCAGCCTTAAGCCTTGAAGTCATGCTCAGTCTTGGCATCCAGCACCAAATCCCCAGTGCAGAGAGCTCCTCCTAAAGGTTGCTCAGCTTAATTTATTTCACGGTAGGGTAGGGTTTTGCTCCTACTTACCTTAATACAAGGATGAGTTAATGACTGCATCTGCAGCATTGAGTTGGCTGGGTTAGTTAGCATCTCTGCAGTGGAAAAACCCTATCACCTTCATAAAAGGTGCTAAAACAGGTTTACTGTTGGAAACTGAAAATTTAACTATACTAAGGTGTATATTTTTCTGCTTTCTTGCAGGTGGCGATGCATTACGGCTTGACACGCTTTTGGAATGGTGGAGAGAGAAGAATGGTTCTTTTTGTTCGCGACTTATAATTGTGTTAGACTGTGAGAACTCCCAGCCTTGGGTTAAAGAAGTAAGAAAAGTAAATGATCTATATATTGCAGTACAAGGAGCAGAATTTGCCAGAGTGGTAGACATTGAGGAAGCAGACCCTCCGCAACTTGGTGACTTTACCAGAGAATGGGTCGAATACAATTGTAACCCTGACAATAGCATCAGCTGGTCTGAAAAGGGCCGTGCGGTGAAAGCAGTGTACGGTGTGTCAAAACGCTGGAGTGACTATACTCTACATTTGCCAACAGGATGTGATGTTGCCAAACACTGGATGATGTACTTCCCTCGTGTTACCTATCCATTGGTGCATTTGGCAAACTGGTTTTGTGGTCTCAATCTGTTCTGGGTCTGTAAGGCTTGTTTTAGATGCTTGAAAAGATTTAAAATGAATTGGTTTCTTCCCACAGTGCTGGACACAGGACAAGGCTTCAAGCTTGTTAAATCATAATTAAAAACCAAAGATGAGTAGAAGTGGGAGCTCTGGGAACTTTCCCACTCTCAAATTTGATTGACTTGCAATTTTTTATATGTAACAGTTTTCTCTGTTGAAGAAATCTTGCTACTTCAGTAGCTATACTCACTGTGTTCATCTTTTTGAGCAATTACAGTATATGCAAAGGGTTGGAAGCTTCATTCTAAAATGAGGAGGATAGGATTATACTATTTGAATTTTGTTACTGAGTTGTATATAAACATGTAAAAGATTTATTAAATATGACCATGCACTTTGGAGACAGAAAGCTGCCTGTGTTCAGAACCAAGAAATTACAGGCTTTAATAAGCTATGGCTCATATGATGATACATGGCAATTATATCCCTCTCAAACGTCAAATACAGGAAAGGAAACAAGCCACTGTTCAAATCATTTTATTATGCCCTCGCACTTCTATGATGGGTTTCAGAGTATTATAGAACAACACAGAGTCAAAAAATAGAAAAACTCAAGAAGCCCTGTAGGTAGGTAGCTGCAAGGATATTTAAATTAATTTACATTAGCATTCTCAGTCCCTGCCTGTGGCCCACATTGACAACAATAGGAGTTGCCCACACAGAGTGAGGGAATGAAATGGATCTTTGTTAGAACATTTTGTGGTTCCAGCCATGTTCTTGTTGACAGCCAACAAAGAGCGGTTTTCAAATGTGATTTTTAAAATGTTCAATATTTTTTCAAAATAAATTCAGTCTCTCAGGTGATATTTTCTTTTAAAAAAGTTAATAGGTATAAGGTATAATAAATGTGCTAAAGGTTTTGTGTGTGTTTACGCGCGCGCGTGTGCAGTTGGGGGCGGGAGGGATGGGCTATTCCATCAGATCTCCTGGACTTCCATCAGTTTGGCTTTCCCCCAGGTTTCTTATCTGAAATCTCTGCTGTGCCTAGGACCCCAGTCCTGTGGAGTGGTGAGTATAGGATTGGATCTAGGGGGGTGATTATCTTTTTTTTTTTTTTTTTTTTAAACTGAAACCAGACAGTTTGACAGGGAGAGTTGGGTTTTCCCTTTGTTGGGGAAATTAGTCCTCTCCGCCCTGAGTATCCCTCTTTGGAGGACCGGTCAGCACTGCTCCTTCAGTCAGAGATGTTTGTCAGTTTATATGAGGTAACACTCACTCCAAAGGCAGAACTCTCTGGCTCCACAGTACTCTTAGCCTTTGTTCACCTGAAGTGCAGGACACCAAGAGTTGTAGGCTGCTGGGTGGATCCACTTAAAATTGTTTCAGAATAAGTGTGTGTGTGAATAATTTATAAGATTTTGGATTTACATCATTCGTTCACCAGCATTTTAGTAAAAATGCAAGTCATTTTATAAATAAGACATTAGCTGAGGAAGTTGCCTGAAATGTAGCTGTGGTTTAAACATCTGAAAAACAATGTTATGAGCTCTGTAACTCTTTGACTTCTGAGGGCTCGTAGCCTGCTGAGTTTTTTAACGTAATGGTCAACTCATTTAGATAATCTGCCAATCCTGGTACATATTAATTTGTAAACCCTACAAGAGAGGAAATATTCTAGTAGTAGTTGTTGGGCACGCCAGTAACCCCAATAACTCATCGCTCCTTCAAACTGTCAATTCCAATGAGTTAAATTCACTGGCAAGTTAGGGCTCCTTCCCTAAATTTCGTTTATTATCCTGTGTTGTGCAAGTTAGTTTAGCAAGAAAATCAGCATTCCTGCCCTGCCACAAAAAGGGAGGGGGAGTTAAGGTGGGTGAGAGACAAATCAAATCATATAAACTGTTAGGTTTCTTTCCATTCAACCATCTCAAAATAACAACTGAGATAATGGTAACTAAGAGAAAGCAATACAGGAACAGAGAACACTGTGTTCCAAAAAAGGGAAGCACTATCTTGATCTTACAGGGCTGGTCTACAAAAGTCAGCTATTTCTGAGTGACAAACCTTGGGTCTGGATGGGAGGGATCTTCAAACAGACAGTTATTATTCTTGGTAAAATGATCATTATTTTGGCTTCAGTTTTGGTAACAATTAATTTAGTTGCAGTAATAGAATGCTCCATCTAGATGGCTCATAGTACCCAGACAAATCTGTGTGTAATGTAATGTAAATATGTAATGACAGATTTAACTTGTTAACTATGTCTCTTTAAAGCCCCATTATTAGGACATAGTAGTTACAACACAAACTTTTACAAGTCAGAAAATTAGAACATTGTAATTCAAGGAAACATAAACATGAATCTGCAAATACTGTTGATTTCATCACCAGCCTTAACTCCTCCCCTTGCTTATTCACTATGGACTGGTGGGCGATCCTTTACTGTCTAGTTGCAACTGGAGAAATCTTGTGTTTATATGAACTACATCAGTATATTCTGCTGTTGTACAATGATATAACTGGCTTTCATCCTTGTAGCCAGTAATGGTTGCAGAGAGAGGCCATCATTGGAGAGTTTATTAGAGGTCTATGGCCTATATGTTGTGAGAAGATATAGAAATGGTGATATTTTGTCCGCATATGAAAGTGTGAGATCTCTGACCTATGCTGGAAGTGTGAATGGCCTAGTGTGGGGAAACCTGCCCATAATATAATCATGGGCAGGGGCAGAGGGTAATATGTCAAATAATGTCTGCTGTGGCATGTATGTGGAAGGCAAGAAAGCCTCTACTTAGTGGATTTGTTTACAGTTTAACTACTGGCCTGCTGCGTTATCTCTAGGATAGTGGGGATCGTCTTTAGCCTTTAGTTGAGAGATGGATGGGGGATATTGCTATTGATTAAGAAGGCAGAGGTAAAGTTGGTATTTGGAAACTTAAATGGGTATCTCTAGATTTTCCCATGTATTTATTTAACTACAACATTCTGATTTCCTGAGTTCAAATACTTGCGTTTTAACCTGAACTCAAAAGTCGCTCACTTTCAGACTTTGAAGAATAATAATAGTATTCTAATAATACTATTTTAGATGTAAAGATCTGTTTATAGCTATACTAACTGGACTTTTTGTCTGGAATCTTCTTTTCCCATTGTCCAAAAGAACATGCTGTCCATCTGTTTTTAATCAAAAAAAGAACCACAGGGGTTGGGAGCCTACAGAACTCAAACACATTAATTCTGAGTGGCACTAACTTCCATGCTCCATTGTCTAGCAGCACGAATGACTGCAGAACTCCATATTTCTGTGGCTAGCTCTCTGTATAGGTGCCACAAGATCAGCAGGGATGCAGCTTGAATTCTCTAGAGGTGTTGTGGCATCCAAGCAATTATAGGGCCATGCCCCAACTTCATGTGGCCACCCTCTGGAGTGGGTAATACATCAGAAACCTTATCCCTAAGGTTGGTCAGGACTGGACAGACAATATTTAACGGTATCTCAAGTTACTGATTTTGTTGACAGATACTGGAGCATAGGAGACATGGTGACACTCCTGTGGAACTGTGACCTGCCTAGTGTTAAGCAGAAGTGATTTTAGGAACATTTGCAGTTGCAAGCTCCAGCCCTGCTCCAAGGTCCATGCAGGCAGACCTCATTGAGACTCACTGACTTCAATGGAACTCTGCCTAAATTGATCCCGGTGTAGGGTTTGGGCCATATTTGAATCTCAGTGCCATAAGGTGCTATTTAAATCTGATTCCAAAGAGTATCTCATTTGAGCAAATGCTTAGGAATGAGCAGTATGGCGTCAGCAGGTGACTCAAGATTTGAACTTATTTTGAAGGTACTTGACTTCTGCACTGTACATTCAGCCACTCATTCAAAAGGTGTGTATTTTTACCACAGCTGTGAGCTCACTTTATATTGGCTTGGTTTACATTTCAGTTACCTCGTTTACAGGGCACGCTTTGCTGAAACATACAGCTGCACTGATTCCTGAAAACAATTGTCTTGAAATGGACTGCATCTTGAAAATGTACAGTGATGTTTTTCTCTGACTAAACACAGGACAAATCCATTTCCTTTTTAAAAATGTTTGCACTATCACTTCTGTATCTCCACCTTTTTGTTTGTGCTTTGGGAGTTTGGGTTTTGTTGTCTTTAGCTAAAACATTTCCTAGGATTTTTTTTTAACTTATAAATTCTTCTTCCCTTCAGTTCACAAGGTGATAACCTAACAGGGTGATACACTTGAGTGGTTAGATGGCATTTTCAGTTTCTTGCCTGCGCTGGATAGTGTAATTGGATGAAATTCCTTGTTTATAAATGATGATAGAATTTTTGTGTGGGGAGATTCTTTTCATATTTGGTTTTAGATTCTGTAAATGAAATCTGTGTTGTAATATTATTGCTCAAATATATTTTGCTGTTTTGGATGCTCATCTCCATTTCATTTTCTTTTTTTTTTCTTTTCTTTTGTTCACGGCTTGACACTTTAATTTTGTTGTCATGCATTAATCTTCCATTTACTGTAATTTCTCGATTTACATGGTTTTTAAACATGGCTTGTTTCAGTGCATTGTAGATAAAAATCACAGCAGAACTGACTGAAAGTATATCACTCAGTGATGCGCTGCAGTTTGATACTTGAAAAGAAATTAAAAGTAATATTTACTAGATAAAATCATGGACACAAGAATCTTTTTATGTTGCACTATTTTTTCTCCCCCTCATCTCTCAGCCTAATATGAATGCTCAAAGGCTACATCTGCATAAGCATTTTTATTTAGCCTGATTATTCCACCTCTTCTTCACTAACAGCCTATCCCAACTCTCAATTAAAGTCAATGGAGACACTCCTGTTTGAGTGGGATCAAGCCTAGGAGACTGAGTGGAAATCATCAGACAATAGCACTACAGAATGCTGAAGAAATCAAACCTGTTCTGGCGCCCCCTGGAGTGGCACCCGCATGGTGCGGTATAAGGGAGGCTGCTGGCTCCCCCCACCCTCAGTTCCTTTGTGCTGCCAGTGATTGCACTGGAACTTCTGCTGCTCCAGCTAGCTTTCGCTTAGTTCAGTGTGTCCCACAAACGTTTCTCGTAAAATAGTTGGATATAGTTTAGTAATACCCTTAGGGTTAGCTTTAGTTAGTTGGCCCTGGACAGACTCAGCCTAGAGACAGGGTATGCCCCAATCGCCAGGCTTTAAACCATGCGATGGTTCTAAGCGGCCCATTCCCATCAGCGACCCGCATATTAGTTGTTTAAGGTGTCTAGCAGAAGGACACATAAGCAGCAAGTGTCACAACTGTAAGTGGTTCAAACCCAGAACAAAAAAGGAGAGAGACATCTGTCTCAGGGCACCTCTGATGGAGTTGGCGCTGACCCTGGAACCGGAGTGTTAGAGGGCTTATTCCTTCACCCACTTACTTCCCTGGTCCTTCTCGCATGAACAGAGAGCAACAATACCCGAAGTCCAAAGGTGCAAACAATTCGATGTTTATTGGGGTGAACTTCCAGCAAGCATGATTCCAGTTTCCTTCCTTAGTATCCTCCTTCTCAGCTCTGACACCACAGAGCCTTACACCTGTGTCCCTGTTCCCATTCCTACCCTTAGCCAAACATGATTCCAACTTCCTTACTCCCATTCCCATCTCCCCCTTTAGCAAAACATGATTCCAATTTTCTTACCCCCATTCCCTGTTCCCATCTCACACGCCCACATGCCCACCCCCACCCACACCCAGTCACTTCCTCATTGACTACAGATTATATAGTAAAACTTGAGTTCTCCTTAGCTATACCTTAACCAATCATTTTCCTGAAATTTAACTAACCAATCCTAACATATTGTAACATGATTAGCTAACCAATTATATCCCACCACCTTAATTAGTTTACACCCAGCAAAATTAATTATACAGCAGACAGGAACAATCACAGAACCAGACAGAGATTATACAGACAAACAATAGCAAAGTGGGAACTATAATGACAAGACAATACAGAAGTGAGGATTTCACATCCCAGCTATTGATAAGTGAGTTCTTGCCAGACAGGATGCTATCAAACTAAGTTTCCTTTTACATTTTCTAGGCACTTCCCTTTCTCTGGAGGTGATAGGAACTATCAGGACAGGATTGTATTCCTAACAGCTGAATAGCACCTTATTTCAGTGTGACTAGTTTGGAATGTGAGGATGTGACTGTTCGCTTCCCAGCTTATGGCTGCCTCTGCTGCTTAGCCAAAGGCCTTAGCCTAAGAACAGGGCCTCAGACTGTCACAGTAAGAGAAGGCCCTTACACCGGCAGACAGTGATTTTGATTCTTTCTTTTATACCTCTATCACTAGCCAAGTGATAAGAATACACCTAAATTCTTAGAGTATAGGCCTTTACAGACAGGCCTGAATATCTATATCCTAACACGGAGCAGAGGTCTGATTCGGCCCCGAGCACTGCAGCATTGGTACGGAGCATCCCGCTGGTGCCATCTATGAGCCAGCACTGATTCCCCCCACCCCAGCCAAGAAGCCCAAGTGGTCCGCGAGGGGAAGATCTCCCACTTTCCGTAAGGGAAAGGAGAGGACCGGAGGAGAGCCAAGACCCGTGCTCTCAACACCTCCGTCAGGGAGTCAGGCCCCAGCTAATGTCGTGCCCCTCCCATGCTATGCCTGACACACCGGACAGTGATGAGGGCCTCTGTCAGCTCAAAGTTCCGTAAATGCCCAAAGCCCTGCAGGCAGCACAGGAGATCCTGATGCTACCGGTGCCACCTACACCGACTCCAGCAGTACCAGGGTAAACCCGCCTTGGGACCATTTTGAGTGTCCCCGCCTCAGCAGTGCCACTCCCCATCATGGGGAACATCCTACCAGCGCTTGCCCATATGGAGCTGTCATGACTTAGACTTTGGGAGGCAGGCTCAAAGAAGCCCCCTTCGGTCTCCAGACCCTGGGCACCGACAGCGGGATTCAAGGCGCTGCTCACCAGTAACCTGGCAGAGACCTGTGGAGGCACACACACCCCCCACCCCACCCCCGTCGGCTTGAGAGTTGAGACTGACCATCGTGTCTCCAATGCCTCTGCACCGGTCCTGTGGCCAATTGGCGGAACGGAATCATCGGTTACCCGCCAGCTGTCGCCGAGGTGCAAATCCCCTCGATCGGGGAGATTCTACTGATGACTGGCCCACTCTGATTCCCGGTCCTGCTCTAGATCCCAGTACAGGTCAAGTAGCATGAGGCATAGATTGCCGGTCTACTGACGCAGATCCGCTGAATGCCAAAGATCCCCGGGGTCCTGTCGGAGGAACTCGTCCCGATCGGACAGGTCGATGTCAAGGCACAGCAGCTGGCACTGTAGGGAGAAGGGCTGCCAGGCCAGCTGGTCACAGTCACGTCGCAGCATCCACTCCTCTTACAACTCTGGTACTGATCAGGAGTCCCTGGTGCTGGCACCAGTGGTACCATCAACCTCATCAGCACCACAGCTGACCCTGTGGCCTCCGGGCCAATGGCCGGCAGCATGGTACCCCTGGAATCCATGGGGGTTCACCCAGCCTTCCCAGACTGCCTGATCAGTGGCGGGGGGCCTCAGATAGGCCATCGACCGCAGCAGCCCACCCTCTTGCAGAGGTGGAGGCCCCACAGGGAAAGACCCCCCCCTCAGGCCCATGAGGAGCTAGGGGAGCAGCCAGTTGGACCACCAGGGGATGTGGTGGATCCCTCAGTGCTGGCTTCATCCTCCTCATCGCCGGATGAAGCGATTACGAGTCCCCCACATCCGCAAGATGATGCCAAGGCTCATCAGGAGCTTTTGAAGAGGGTTGCCTCTAACCTGGGGCTCCAGGCAGAGGAACTTGAGGAGCCATCAGACTCACTGTTCGACATACTTGGCTCCACAGCACTCGCTAGAATGGCTTTACCCCTACATGAGGGGGTATCAAAAATAATTAATACCCTATGGCAAATCCCCTCCTCCCTGACACCCATCTCAAAAAGGACTGAGCGCAAATATTTTGTGCCAGCTAAAGGCCATGAGTATCTCTATGCTCACCCGGCCCCAAACTCCCTCGTAGTTGAGGCCATTAACCAGAGGAAGAGGCAGGGTCAGCCCGGGGCTACGCCCAAGAGTAAAGATTCAAAGAGACTGGATCTGTTTGAGTGAAAAATTTATTCATCTTCCAGCCTTCAGTTGAGAATGGCCAACCACCAAGCCCTCCTTGGCCGCTATGACTACAATATGTGGCAGTCTATTGCCAAATTCGAGGTCTCGGTGCCCGAAGGAAGGAAGGAATTCCTAGCGATCCTCAAGGAGGGCACTGTTGCAGTGAGAGCGGCCCTCCAAGCAGCCTTGGATGCAGCAGACTCCGCAGCTCACAACATGGCTGCGGCCCAGGGTGGATTTGATTTAAATCAAATTGATTTAAATCACTAGTCAGGAAGACTCAATTTAATCATGAATTTCTACATAAAAGTGCATTCTTGTTGGTTGTTATAACCTTAATACATATTCTTCACAACTCAGAGGTAGACGTAGGTTTCATTTTTAGAAGGTACACACTATACATTTTTAAGTGATTTATTTTGAAAACTTTTCAGACTAGTTTTACAGCTATGTCAGAAAATGAATGATTTTCTGATTATTTCATTCACCAAAGTTAATTGAAGCAGATAGTTCACCCCAATGACTTCATAAATATCTCCAATTCAACAGATAATTCTCCAAATATTAATGATTTTTCTTGCCATGTGGTATTAGGAGGAGAACATCACCAGACAGACATTTAAATTGTTTTATTTAACTAAATCAACAGCGTTATGTATTCCGGAATTTTTCTTCAACATATAATATTTTAACAAAACAAGCATATCAATTTTTGAATTTAAACATTCCAGTTTTTTAAAATCTGGTTTGTTTTTGTTAAAATAGTTTTTATCTAAAATAGTTAAATTAAATGTTTTTTTGTTTTTTAAAAAAACCCAAAATTAAATCTACTATGTCAGCCAGGTCAACATGAGAAACTTAAAATATTGACTACTGTAGCTAACTCAGTCGTCGTCACCTTCATTTTCCTGTTTTTTCATAATCTGGAAAAGAAAAACAAGCTTTCCTGCTTTTTCAGGTTCCAAACAATTTCTCAATTTGGAATGAATTATTCCAAAGGAAGAAAATATTCTTTCTACACCGGCAGAAGACGCTACTGCTATTAAAAGTGAGATTATCACTTCAACCGTCTCTGAATCAAAGTGCTTAAGTGACTTCCACCAGTTCACTGGTGTGACTTTCTTTAAAACATCATCAGTAAACATATATTTCTTGAATGGTTCACCCTTAGCTCTGAAGTTTATTATAGTTGGCATTATGGAGGATTGATTGCTGGATGTCCATGTCATAGCCAGCTCCTGTTCTTAAGCAGTTAAGGTTTGACCCTGG